TGGGAGCTGAACAGTGAGAACCCAGGGACACAGGGAGGGGAACATCACACACCAGGGCCTGTCAGGGGGTGTAGGGCTAGGGGAGGAATAGCATTAGGAGAAATACCTAATGTAGATGATGGGTTGATGGGTGCAGCAAACCACCATGGCACATGTATGCCTGTATAACAAATCTGCACGTTCTGCACGTGAATCCCAGAACTTAAAGCATAATCTTTTTAAAAAAGTTAGAAAAAAGGAACTGTTAAACCTCAAAAATAAAAAATCTTGATTAAAAAACTCATAAGATTTCAACAGATATTTCACAAAACACAATAAACTGATGGCAAATACCCACGTGAAAAGATGCGTACGATCATTAGTTACTAGCCACCTACTAAAATGACTAAATTAAAAAGGTGAATGGGTAAAGAAACTTGCTATGTTAACACAGTGGGATACCACCCACCAATAAAAAGAAATGGCCAACCGTTACATGCAAGAATAATTATTTTGTTAAATCCCAAAATAACTATTCTGAGTGAAAGAAGCCAGACAACAAAAAGTATATATTATTTCATTTATATAAAATTCTAGACAAATGTAAACTAATCTATAGAATAAGAACCATGTCAGTGGTTGCCTGGGGTGATAGGATCAGAAAAGAGGGATTAGAATGGGGCAGGAAAAACCTTTTGGGGATTGTGGATATGTTCATTGTCTTGATTGTAATGATGGTTCCATGAGTGTATAAAAATGTTAAAACTGATGAAATTGTTCACTTTACATATGTGCGGTTTATTGTATGACAATTATACCGAGTAAATCCATTGAAAATACAACAAAAAATAATATACTCTGAATTTCATGAATTAAAAAATAAATAGAACAAATTATTTGCCACTTCCTGAGCACCTGCAAATAGATACACATCACAGAGGACATCTGAGTTTGTTTTTCTAATGAACCTGAGGTGAACACAACTGAATAAATTAAAACCTTTGGTTTATGGTACACTCTCTTCATTGGTTCATGTATGGTTCTTTTTAATTTATTTCATTTGCTTGCATATGTATTTATTATAATATTGTAAATAGTCATGAGTGGCTGGCCAATTGGAGAACCATAACTCTGATCATCACATCTCTTTATTTCATTCCCCAGTCTTCAAACCCTGCTCCCAAATGACCAATCACCCTAAATTTTCTATTTAGCATTCCCTTGATATCTTAGAATATTTTTATCTGATGACTAAAATAAATAGTTTTGTATGTCCTTTGAATTTAAAAAGTATGTATTTCATTCTCATAACAGTATTGTTCATGATAACCAAGAGGTGAAGGCAACACAACTGTCCATCAACAGAATGGATTTTTAAAATGTGGTACCTATGTACAATATGATTCTATTCAACCTTTAAAAAGAATGGGGCCAGGTCCAGTGGCTCACACCTGTAATCATATTTTTTTTAATTCATAGCACTTTGGGAGGCTGAGGCGGGAGGATTGTTTGAGCTCAGGAGTTCAAATCTAACCTGGGCAACATGGAGAAACCCCATCTCTAACAAAAATAAAAATAATTTAAAAATAATTTAAAATTTTTTTTAAAAAAAGGATATTCTAACACGTTATAGCATGAATAAACCTTGAGAACATTCTGCTAAGTGAAATAAGCTTGTCCAAAAAGACAAATACTACATGATTCTATTTATATAAGGTATCTAAAATCAAATTCAGTGAAACAGAATAAAATGGTTACAAGGGACTAAAGGGTAAAGGAAAAGTAGGAGTTTTTGTTTAACAGGTTTAGAGTTTCAGACTGGCAACATGAGAAAGTTCTCAAGAGATGTTTCACAACAATGGACTATACTTACTACTCAATTGGACACTTATAATGGCCGAGATAGAATACATAAGCAGAACATGCATGAAGAAAAAATGATTAAGATAGTAAATATTTTTGTTACATGGTTTTACCATAATGAAAAACAAATAAACAAGCAAAGCAAAAAAGGAACCATGCTAAATGTAGTCTTTTTTCACTGAACAATACTAAATTATTATTCACATTATTGTATGTGTCTGTGGTTAATTTGTTTTCACAGCTGTAAAATACTAATTTTCTCTTTTCCACTTTCTTTGGTTTATTTTGCCTGACTCATTAATTTTCAGCAATTTTTTTTAAATGTATGCATTCAGCCCGGCATGGTGACTCACACTTCTAATCCTGTAATCAGTACTTCGAGAAACAAAGTCTATCAAACAGGTTTTTCCTTTTGTCTCTTGTTTGGTACATTAGGAGTCTTTATAATCTGACGTCTTTCCTATTTCTTTAATTCTAGAAAAAGTTCTACATTGTATTTTTAAATATTTTATTTTCTCCATCATTATTTTCTCTCCTTCTGGAATCATTTTTCTGTAAAAGTTAGCACCTCTGCTCCTATTCTCCATATCTCTTAACTTTTCTTTTGTATTTTCTATTTCTTTGTATTCTATTTTCTTCTTGAGATTGTTTTTCAATCTGTTCTAGCTCATCAGTCGGGTCTTCACCTGTGTATCGATGCTACTATTTATACCATCTTCTTAGCTTCTTATTTTAATATCTAATTTTTCATACCTAATATTCATACTAGGCCACTTTTATGTTTTTGTGTTTCTGTTTCATACTGAAAATTTCCCTTTCCCCTCTGAAGTAATTTAGATATTTTTCCCCTCCAAATCTTATGTTGAAATGTTATCCCAAATATTGTCCAGTTTGTCCATGTATTGTTCATTATGTCCTTTAATACATGTGATATGTTTGTTTAAATATTTTGATTAGTATTGTAATACTTCCAGAGATCTTTGTTGTTTTTCTTTCGAGATAATTAAATTCCATAAATATTTCATTATTTTGGCTAATGAAATCATTCTTTCCCAGGGATATCATATAGGGTATGCTGAGAAAGGGCTCAAATGCCTCCAGAAGCCCACACCTGGATCTATCTTCCCAAGTGAGTAAAAGGACTGAGTGGGGATGAGTCTTAGTCTGGAAAGTCTCAGGCATCATAAAACCAAAATTAATCATCCTCCTTTGTCACCAAGCAACACCTTCAGATAAAGACTTCCATGTTAGAATCACTTGGCAAGCTCTGAGAAGGATGATGCTGAGGTCATCAGACCAGGTCAGTTACATCAGAATCTCTGGGGGTAGGACCCAGGTAAGAATGATCACAGTATAATGGTGGGAAGTGGGAGAGGGTGACTTCCAGGGCCACATAATCTCCAGATTTTTTTCCCAGTTTCCCACCTGACAGTGTGTGTACCACCTGTGGGTCTTTGTCACTGGTTTCTGTAGGAAGCAGTTATCAATAATAACTACAACAGCAGAGAATGATTGGCAAGAGCTGAATTGTACAAACTTTTCATTAAACCTCTCATAGCAGCACCAGATCCCTCTGCCTCAGACTCTAGCCACTAGGCACCCAGTCACAAACCATAACTACCACCTCATTTCAAAATTTTCTTCCATAGCCACAGGAGTTTCTCCTTTGTGGGTGTTGTTTGTATTCTCTAACATCTATGCTATGTTTTCCTCTATCTATGATTTATCCAGTTAATTTTGAGAAAGGAGCCTGTCCAAATCAGGAGGAACTACCTCTCATCAATTTTAAGCCTAGAAGTTTACATTCCCAATAAAAAAAAATTTTGAAAACTCCAAGCATTTATAATTAAATAATTAGCTCCTGATGAATCCACATGTATGCACATATATGTCACAATTTCCCTTTCATAAGGCATGCTTTTATTTTGGGAAAGGAAAATGTTAGCTAGCTTCATAGTCAATATACGTGTAGTTAAAAAAAAAAATTCAAACTGACAAATATCTCTCATTCTTGGCATTTCTATGAAATTTCTTACTCTTATCAAGTATATTTCTATCCTACTCTGGGTACCAGTATCTCTCAATATCATCCTTTTTGATAGAAGTGGAAAGAGGATGTCTTTGTCATTGATGTGCTTCATTCTTCACCATCATCCCAAATCCCACCAGCTTTTAAAACCAGCATAGGTCTTAGGAATTTACTCTATATGTGTCTTTATTTTTTTTTCTAGTCAACTTAGAATGTTCAGCATGTGGAAAAATTTCCCTTTGCTCTCTAATAGAGTTTAGATATTAATAATATTAATATTTTTCCCCTGCAAATCTTATGTTGAAATGTGATCCCAAATGTTGGAAGTGGGGCTTAGTGGGAGGTCATGGGGGCAGATCCCTCATGAATGGCCTGGTGCCCTCCCCACAGTCATAAATTCACGTAAGATCTAGTTGTTAAAGACTCTGGAAGCCGGGTGCAGTGGCTCATACCTATAATTCCAGCACTCTGGGAGGCCGATCAGGTGGGTAGAGCACCTGAGGTTGGGGGTTCGAGACCAGCCTGACCAATACGGAGAAAAATGCTCTAGTAAAAATACAAAAATTAGCTGGACTTGGTGGCACAAACCTATAGTCCTAGCTACTAAGGAGGGTGAAGCAAGAGAATCACTTGAACCCGGGAGGCGGAGGTTGCAGTGAGCCAAGTTTGCGCCATTGCAGTCCAGCCTGGGGAACAAGAGTGAGACTCTGTCTCAAAGAAAAAAAAAAGACTCTGGAACCCCTTGCACCTTTTATCTTGCCTCCTCTCTCATGGTGTGGCACGCCCAGCTCCTCTTGCCTTCCACCATGACTGTAAGCATCCTGAGGCCCTCATCAGAAACTGATGCTGGCACCTTGCTTCTTGCACAGCCTGCAGAACCATGAGCCAAATAAGCCGATTTTCCTTATAAATTACCCAGTCTCCACTATCTCTTTATAGCAGTGCAAAATGGACTCATATACCCTTTATAAGACTAGTTGCCTCTAAAATCTCCTGCGCCCTTGAAATCATGCACAGTTTGGCTAAAAAGCCACCTGCTATTCTTTTCTAGCCACTTGTATTCTATGTTTCTACGCTGCGTAAGAAATTACTACAAACATGGGAGCTTGAATCAGCACACATGTATTACCTCAGCATTTCTGCAGGTCACACATCTGGGCACGGCATAGCTTGGTCCTCTGCAGAAGGTCTTACAAGGCTACATTCAAGATGTTGGCCAGGACTGGCTCTTCACTGGAGGCTCAGCTAGGGAAGGATTTGCTTCCCAATTCCTTTTGGCAGCAATGAGTTCCATGTGGCTTTAGGAGTTCTGGCAGCTTGCCTCTTCACAGCCAGCAAGGGAGACAGAACGTCTGTGGAGCCAGTCAGCTAGCAAGACACAGTCATATAACGTCACATAATCATGGGACCGACGTGCCATTGCCTTTGCCATATTCTGTTGTTTAGGAGCAAGTAATGGGTCTGGTCTACACCTAAGAAGAAAAAATTACACAAAGGCCTGAATACCAAGAGGAAGGGGTCTTGGGACCACCTTAAAGTTTATCTGCCACACCACTACTACGTCAACCCCCACAAAATTGCTTCTCTCCCAAGCCAATGGACCTGCCTCCTGGACCTCCTGATGTTTGGTAGAAAATAGCTCTCAGCAGGCTAGAAACACCTGGGGATTTTCATTCAGTAACTGACAAGGAACAATTCCTTTCTACTTTGATTTAATTATAATGTACCAAAAATTAAATGTCCAAGGATTATTAGGATTTGAGTTTGGATGCATGTAATGACGACATGAAATAAAGTGACTTAAACCAAACTGAGTTTTATTCCTTTCTCACAGAAGAGTCAGAATTAAGCCGTTCAGGGGGCTCTCTTCCTCAGAGTTACTGGGAATGGGGGCTGTGTCTATCTTGTTAGATCCATAGAGCACTGTCCTCATCATGTGGCCCAAGACGGCTTGCTATCAGGTTCATATTTTAGTAGGATACAGGAAGGGAGAAACACACATATTGGAAATTTTGTGCACTACTTTCCCTTGAATCTTTTTGACAAAAATCATTTATGTGAAAGTACCTACCAAGGGAGACTAAACCACATAGACTTTATTCTGAGTAGTCATTTCGTGGCCAAAAGATAGAGATTCTCACTAAAGGAAAATAAATCAGGAGAAATAGAAACCAGAAGACAACCTACATTGGTAAACTCCACTAAAGTGACTTTTTTTTTTTAGTAGAAACGGAGTTTTACCATGTTGGCCAGGCTTGCCTCGAACTCCTGACCTCACGTGATTTGCAGGTCTTGGCCTCCCAAAGTCCTGGGATTACAGGTGTGGGCCACCACACCCAGTCCTAATGTGAATCGTAACTCCACTTAGGATTTATTTTTCTCTCAGTTTTCCCCTCAGTTAGCCAAAGTTTCCTTTATCCCCAGACCTACTACATGGCCCAATCAAATTGTGCTCCCTAAAATGAAGTTTTTTAATAACAAAATAAAATACTTTAAAATAAAAATTTTAAAGGCATTCAATTGTTGGACAAGCGGATCAAAGGAAAAAGCAAAATGTGTGCCACGGTGCTGATCGCTGTTTAATAGTTTGGGTTTTCCCACAACCTTTTGGCTTCAGAATTGGGACCTGACCTTTCCAAGTCTCTCCCTCCATTGTGTTTTAATTAGAAATAAGAATTTACTTCTTATTGGTTATTCTGAGACCTACAGAGAATAGGACTAGAACCTATTTTGAGAAGCCAAATAAAATAATACTGTGAACTGAAATGCTTTTGTGGTCCACTTAGCAGTGATTGGGCAAGAATTTCATCTTAATTTTTTATAGTGCTTATAATTTGAATGCATTTTAGACACATGTTACATTCATGGCTCTCCAGGTGACATAATCACAAATACCTGCACACTCGATTCTTGATTGCTCCATGCACCTGCAGAGGAGCCCTACAGGCATATGGGAATATAGATGTGTAACATGACAAAGGTATTGAAATACAACCCTAAAAGTTGATAATGGTTTGCTCTGAGTAGAGGGATGGGGTGGAATTGGAGTAAGTGGAGGAGGTTTCATGTTGAAGGCTAAATAATGCCCTCACAAGAATGTCCACATTCTAATCCCCACAACCTGTGAATATATTATCCTGTTTGTGTGTGTGTGTGTGCGTGTGTGTTGTGTGTGTGTGTGTGTATGTGTGTGTTTGTGGGGTTTTTTTGTTTGTTTGTTTTGTTTTGTTTTGTTTTGTTTTGTTTTGTTTTTTTAGACGGAGTCCTGCTCTGTCCCCAGGCTGGAGTGCAGTGGTGCAATCTCAACTCACTGCAACCTCCGCCTCCTGGGTTCAAGCGATTCTTCCGCCTCAATCTCCCGAGTAGCTGGTATTACAGGCGCGTGCCACCACACCCTGCTAATTTTTGTATTTTTAGTAGAGACGGGGTTTCATCATGGCCAGGATGGTCTCAATCTCTTGACCTCGTGATCCACCCACCTCGGCCTCCCAAAGTGCTGAGATTACAGGCGTGAGCCACCACACCTGGCCGAATATATTATCTTACATGGCAAAAGTGACTTTAGAGATGTGATTAAGTTAAGGGTCCTGAGCTGGGGAGACTCTTTGGGTGGGCCCTACATGTAATCACAAGGATCCTTAGGCAGAAGGAGATTTTACATGGAAGAGAAAGTGAGGTGACAGTGGGATCAGAGGTAGGAGATGTGATGTGATGTGACCACAAGCCAAGGAATGAGGACGTCCCCCAAAAGATGGAAAAGCCAAGGAAATTATTCTCCACAAAGCCCCCAGTGAGTGCTGCCCTATTGACTCTTTGATTTTGGCCCAGGGAAATCCATTTAGGACTAATGGCCTTCAGAACTATAAAAGAATGCATCTAAGTTGCTTTAGGCACCAGATTTGTGGTATTTTGTTACATCAGCAATAGGGAACCAATGTAATTTAACTTCTCACCTTGATCTCTCCTAAATGTCTGACTCTTTTTATAACAAGTGTATATTATTTTTGTAATTAAAAATAAAGAGAAAAATGATTATTTCTCATTATTAAAATGATTTTTTACCTTGTGAATTTTTTAAACATGTGCATCACATGTTCAAAAATAATTTTAAAATGACCTGAGAGATGCAGATTTACATTGTTGTCTCTTGATCATTCCATAGTCTGAATTGTACAGGGGGATGTGAGTATCATGGGGGCCAACCAGCCCTCAAATTTTGCCTTGGGCAACTTTATTTCTGTTTTTGATGTTATTGTGAGCTTTTCATTTGTCTGGTTTCCTGTAATGATGTCCCTGGTGCCATTATAGCATACCTGTGGCGTATGATGATCTACCAAGAAGAAAGGACTATGATTTCTATTTGTTTCTCTGCATTAACCAGCCACCAAGAATTTCAATGACTTTTTAAAACGAAGGCCAGGCATGGTGGCTCATGCCTATAATTCCAGCACTTTGAGAGGCTGAGGCAGGAGGATCAGTTGAGGCCAGGAGTTTAAGACCACCCTGGGCAACTTAGCAAGACCCTCATCTCTTCAGTTTTAAATTAGCTGGGCATGGGGGTGCATGCCTGTAGTCTCAGCTCTTCAGGAGGCTGAGGTGGGAAGATTGCTTGAGCCCAGGAGTTCCAGGCTACAGTGAGTTATGATTGCACCACTACAATCCAGCCTGAGCCATAGAACAAGATCTTGTTCATAAAAAATAAAAACAATAAAAAGTTTCCGATTAAAAAAGATAAAAAATCAAATTGTAGTGAACATAGGCTTTCGTTTGATAAGAGTATTTACAGCTTTCCCCCTAGCTTTCCCTTTGCTACTGCTAGTTCAAAGCTGTAAAAATAGCCCCAAGTAAATCTGATCTAGTTTATTTTCTGGTCTATTTCTTATCTTAATTACTCAGCCCCTGAAGACTGCGGACATCCTCAAGTACTAAAGAGCCCATGTGCTTCAAAGAAGTCACCAGATAATAGAAAAATGTAGAAAAGAAGCATTTGTTTTTCCTTCTATGCTGCCTCTTATAGACTTCAGCGTCTCCATGGTCTCCAGCAGGAAGATGACACCACAGTATGTCAAACTCCCAGTGATCCATGGATGCTTCCAGATGCATCCTTTGCAGTGTTGTTCCCTCCCTCATCACCACAATGTCTTTTTCTTACTTCCAAAAATACCTCACTGCTTTCTTAGAAAAGGAAAAGACCCATGACTCTCCCATCTTCCTTCACTTGGTCCAAACTGTAATGTATGAAGCAGGAATTCTGTGACATTTGTACAATATGGTTGGCATTGTTCCTAATTTTAAGACTTGTCTTATTTTGTCTCCCAGATAGTACTTTTTTGATTTTTTCTTTTGAGGGCATTTTGGGTGATGAACTGGGAATCAGTAATATGTAAGCTTGTTCTTATACTTTCATATTTCTTGGTTATCCAAACTTTTTAACTTTTCTTAAATGAATCTATATTATTTGTATAATTTTAAAATAAATTTCACTTAAATTTACTTAAAAGTAAATATTGTTACATTTCATTTAATAGTACTTTCCAATCAATTAATTCTTACAATAAATATTTGAACTCATAAAATATTCCAAATGACATTAGCTAGGCTCTAATTATCTGTTTAAATAGAGTTTCCTTTGTTCCTTTTACTGTTAGTATAATGATTATATTAGCCATCCAGTATGCACCTCTGCTCAGGAAAATTTAGATGAAAATGATAAAATTAATAAGTTTTTATTCTACCCTAAGGTATTCCCCTTGAGTCTTTTCAATCCAGAGTATTATAAACAGGAAAAACATCAGCATGTAGATGAACAGCTGGATTTTGTTTTAAATATTTTCTTAATTATAATCTATTTAATTTTTTGCAGTCGAAGGGATTTTTGATGTTATTGTTATTGCAGAAAATCTCTTACTTGTGTTTCTTATATGACAATCTTGTGTTTCTGGATTACAGAGCTGAAAAATATGGTGGCAATTGCTCTGGAAACCTTGTCTTCTTACTTTGCTCTTTAAAATTTTGCACCCAAGCAATAATTCTCTTTCAGGATAGGTCCTGAAAAATATATCAAATCTCACCAAATCATGTAGAAATAGAAGTTGCCAAAACTGGAAGAAGCCTAATAAATCTTGAGGAAATGTCACAAAAAGCAAGTATATATGCCTAGGGTGTTTACTTCCTCCTGAAACTTAGAAAGACCTTAGCAGCATAAAAGATACATGAACTCAGGATTCTGCTTTTTCTCACATTTCTGCATTTTGAGAGACTGGAGACAAAGCTCAGAACCAGCATAGCAACAGCTCTCAGGGAGCCAAGGTGGAGCTTTACCATCTCGACAGAGACCAATTTTGATTTTAGCATGACGCCACCCATTTAGCATCAGACTGCTCCTGCAGTACCCTAGAGACACCTTAAACACTATCAGTGCCTAAACTGCAGAAGTGGGAAAGGGAGACCCTCCCCTCCCGAACACACACCCCTACTGGGGAAAATGAAGGTCTAGTTTGTGACAAAAATTTCCAACCTTACTTGGAGCTGGGTCAATTTAGAGAGCCGAGTGAAATACAGGAGTATAGGAAGCAGCAGGAAAGGCCCTGGGAGCTCACTAGAGCCTCAAGCAGGCCATTCCTGCCTGACACCACAGGGACCCTTCAAGAGGGTGACCAGAGGTGCGGGGAAAAATGCCACAGTGAGAAGGAAGTCTTCAGCTGAACTCTGTAACAAGTAGAACCAGCCAAGAAGCCTCCTGGCCAGAACTCAGAGAAGGGTGTGAATCCAGTGTGCAGACGCCACAGGTGGGGGAAGAACCAAAGCCCTGTTCTTTCACAGCTGAGAGGTGGGTAGCCTGGGGCAAGTTCTCAAGCCAGCTCACCCCTCTAACTCCTTAATCACGAATAACTTTTTGTTTCCTTGACCTATTAGTTAAGATGGAAGGTTGTCCTTTCCTATGAAAATCAGTACTACCGTACTCAGTAGTCAGTTCTTTTTGGAAGGTACATTAGGATAACATGTAATTGCCTTTCAAGCCTTCGATAATCTTGAAAGTAAATGTGTTTTTGAAAAAGAAGAAACTGGCATTTCTTTGCAGTTAAATCATTGACATTACTGATTTCCTATGCTTTATCCCTTATGATGTATAATGCATTCATGTTACCTAGCGTATATATAGAGAGATATCAGACATATATCGGACATATATAGATATCTGAAATACTGTCAAGTT